ATAAACCTGAATAATTTTTAAAGAATAGCAATAATGCAGAGTGTATCCTCTGAATGTGATGAATTAAGCTAGAAAATCCTCAAATGTTTTGAAATAAAAGACCTCAGGTCAAGGAGAAAGTGTCTAGGGAAAGGAAAGCATTTTGAACTGAATAAAATGAAAAGACAACATAAGCTACATGAGACATACGTAAAGCAATGCTTAAAGGGAAATTTAAAGCATTGTTTATATCAGATAAAGAATGGCCTCTACTCAGTAGTCGTAAGTTTTCTATTTAACAAACAAGAGAAAGAACCAGTTAAATCTAATGTAGCTGAAGGAAGGAAATAAAAACCAGATATCAATGGAATTTAAAGCAGGGAAAAAATAAAATTAATAAATCTTTAGCTATGCTGAATGAAAAAAAGGAAGACAAATTAGACTTTATCAAAATTAAAAGCTTTAGGGCCAGATGGTAATATGTAATGCTGTGTGAGGCAATCCCGCACGGGTTGGTTCCTGGTTCGAGTCTGGAGACCACCAGGCACATGCCCGTGATCCAGGTCTGGCTGAATGTTGGTGGTGGAAACCCTATGGCTAAATACAAAGTATTAATGTACACAGTGTACACAAATTGTTGTTTGTTTCTCACCAGAGTATGGGTTAGCAGTTCTGAAGCTACTTCGTATGTATACTAGGGTTGAACAAATTGGTAAATTAAATACATTACAGAGTGGTAACTAGATTCCTTACTACCAGAAAAGTTACAAATAACCAAAGGAGGAATGCTGAAGTGAGCTTTGTGGTACTGGCTTAGAGTTAAAGTATCATGAGCTCACTTCCTCTTGTTTAATGTACAGATGAGTGGATGGATGGGTAGACACGGGTTAGTATATAGACATATATTTGCTAGCTCTGTCCATTGAGAGGACCTATAAACAGGGACACATTTAGGAGTGAGTATAGCTAGCACTCAGATCTTGATTTCTAAGTATATTTTTCCAATAAAGAGAACCAGAACCAGAATGGAAGGAAGTGCTCAAGGAAGAAAAAAAAAGGGGGGGACCTGACATGTCAGAAGGCCACAAGAGACAATTTGAAAGCATTCCCGATGGCCCAAACTGAAACAATTTGAGCAACAAAATAAATGATCATATTGAATTGCAATCCAACCAATAAATATCTTATGAGTGCCTAATGAATGATTAAATAAAAAAGAGGGGAGGAAAACTTTTTTTTTTTTTTAAATTTTCTGTAGGGCGCATGCAGTCACTAAAAAGAGGCAGGGGAGTGAGAAAGTACTTGGGGGAATGGCCATGCCACAATCCCTTTGTTCTCCTTTTGGGACTTTGGCCATACATGAACATGTGCCTGGGGCATTTTTTACACCAGTGGGTCCAGGACTTGAGTTATGTATTTCACTGTGTGGGATCCAGCTGCCTTAACTACACTACTGGTTGGCCCCAAAACTCTTACTTGTAGAAGAAGTTTAATACATGTAGACAGAAAAAGGAAATAGAAAATTGCTATTAGAATTCCACAGAAGTAATTGCTACAGGGAGTATCATCCATTGAGTGCCTAAATTAGTAGATGAAAGGTGTTTTTTAATTGTGGTAAAATATACATAACATTGGGGACTAGCAGTGGTATAATGGCTATATTACTGGCCTCCCATGTGGTCGACTACGGTTCAAGTCCTGGACCTGGTGGCTTAAACTCATGCTGGGTGCATATGTGTGCGTGCCCAAGATCCCGAGAGGAGAATGGAGGAGACGACAGGATTGCAGCGTGGCCATCCCCCCTGAGGGGTGATTTCTGTCTCTCTGTCTTTCTAGCAAGCACATGAGTGCCTAATGAATGATTAAATAAAAAAGAGGGGAGGAAAACTTTTTTTTTTTTTTAAATTTTCTGTAGGGCGCATGCAGTCACTAAAAAGAGGCAGGGGAGTGAGAAAGTACTTGGGGGAATGGCCATGCCACAATCCCTTTGTTCTCCTTTTGGGACTTTGGCCATACATGAACATGTGCCTGGGGCATTTTTTACACCAGTGGGTCCAGGACTTGAGTTATGTATTTCACTGTGTGGGATCCAGCTGCCTTAACTACACTACTGGTTGGCCCCAAAACTCTTACTTGTAGAAGAAGTTTAATACATGTAGACAGAAAAAGGAAATAGAAAATTGCTATTAGAATTCCACAGAAGTAATTGCTACAGGGAGTATCATCCATTGAGTGCCTAAATTAGTAGATGAAAGGTGTTTTTTAATTGTGGTAAAATATACATAACATTGGGGACTAGCAGTGGTATAATGGCTATATTACTGGCCTCCCATGTGGTCGACTACGGTTCAAGTCCTGGACCTGGTGGCTTAAACTCATGCTGGGTGCATATGTGTGCGTGCCCAAGATCCCGAGAGGAGAATGGAGGAGACGACAGGATTGCAGCGTGGCCATCCCCCCTGAGGGGTGATTTCTGTCTCTCTGTCTTTCTAGCAAGCACACACGCATTATAGCAAAAACCTCTCAAAAAACATAACGTTAAATTTACCATTTTAATCTTTTTGGGTTTTTTTGTTTTTGCTATAGGGCACATGTGCTTGCTGGTGGGTGGGGAGAGATAAAGTGAGAACTCACCACCCACAAGAATGGCTATGCTGCAATCCCTTCTCCTCTATTCTCTTGGGATTTGGGACACGTACGCACATGCACCCGTTGTGTTTTCAGGCTACCAGGTCCAGACTTGAACAACACGGTCAGCCACGTGGCCTCCATCTGCCTTACCAATATACCACCATCTGGCCCTCCATTTTAACTATTTTTAAGTGTATAGTTCAGTGGTATCAAGTACATTTATATTATTATGTAACCAGTAGGTAAAAAGTTAAGAGAAACAGGGTATTTGCATGGTTTTAAAATATTTCTCCAAAACAAGTATTGTTTCCATTATTTATTACATTACAGAATAACTTTATGCAGGATATAGTTGACAGATGCCACCTAGCCAACGGTCAGGGCTAACAACTCATTAACCAAGATTACAGTCATGAAACATCAGCATCTGCACTCCTGCAGAAAGAGAGACCCATACCTCTGCAGCATTCTCTTCCAAAATGCATATCCTCCTAATCATGAGAAAATACCAGAAAATCTCAAATTGAAGGATTTTCTGAAAAATTCCTAAACCTGTAATCTTTAAGTGTCAAAATTATGAAAGACAAGAAAAGACTAAGGAACTATCACAAGTTGAAGTAGACTGAGGAGACATGACATCTAAATACTGTGTGAGATCCTAGATTGGCTCCTGGAACAAAAGACTACAATTCGTGGGGGGGGGGGGAGCAAGGTGGAA